GTGCAGAGTGGGTACAGTGGGGGATTCCCAGATTTGGAGGTTGTTGCTCTTGGAGGGAGTTAAGCCAGGGCTCAATGGGAGGAGATGCTAAATCTGATCCAGGTGAATGGAAGTATCCAGAAGTAAAGATGCTACAAGTTGAGCATTGTACAAAGAACAGACAACTGTAAACACAGAGAAAGGGTCAATGATAAAAAACTTGTCAGCATCCAAAAACTGCCCAGGCTGAAAAAGACCCTGTTGTAAGAGTCTCCTAAAGCCCAAGCACGTCTGCAGGCATGAGCTATCCCTCCACATAATCTGGCTGCTCAGAGGATACATCAGGATATGTTCAGGGTCTGCGATAAGAGTCTGTGACCTGGCCCGGTCTGTACTCTGGCAACAATGCATAAAGTAGCATCTGGCTTCTTCATCAGTCTCCTCTCAGTCTGGGTGCCTTAGTCAGCCCTGGCCACGTGGGCCAGATCCTGGAATGGGGACCTGTCCAAGGGCCATCTGTTTCTTTGTCAGTTATTGTCTTCATTTTGTCTTTAGCACTTGTAGACACCAGAAGCACAGGTTTGCCAGGGACTTGTGATGTATTACAATTTAACACAGAGGAAGGAACCATAATGCTAATTTTTATCTACTATTTAAGGATCCATGTGGGATTCCCAACAACACCCTTTGGAAGTCTGTGAACTTCTGTTAAAAATCAGAAGAGAAAAATTTTAGTCTGTTTCTCGAACTAAAAATAAACTTGGGCGAGTGTCCAGGAACAGAGAGCAGTTAATGAGTCCTGGAGAAGAGCTCCAGTCTTGCCTCTGCTCCATCCGTGTCCTCTGGCACCAAAGCCAGAGAGAGCATCTCATGAGGCAGGCCTCCTGGGACGGCTCTCATGCTGAATACTCTTCCAGTTGGAGCCCACCCCCTAACATGGCCCCCAAGGTCCTCCTAACACTGGTCCATGGCTCCATTTCAGTTCTGTCTGTCTCTTCTCCTTGAACTAACTCTGCACTTGAGTTCTTCAGTGTTGCTGAATGTGCTCATCTCTGGGCCTTTGCATATGTTGTTCCCTCTGCCCGGAATACTCTTCCACCAACCCTTACTGTCCTCTTGTCTAGCTAGCTGGTGCTCATATTTCTGATCTCAGCTTAAATTCTGACCCACAGATGTAATTAAATCCTTTTGCTGTTAAGTCATACACCATTATGAGTACTCTCCTTCCCTCAACAACTCAGCACACACTCTGCTCTCCTTACTGATTTCGGTACTTGCTTTCCATGTCCCTGAAGGGGACTTTGCCTGCCTTGTTTAAAACCGACTCCTGAGATCCTTTTCTAAAAATTTGTTTTAAACTTAACTTTTATTTTTTTAAATTTTTTTTAGTTATACATGGACACAATATCTTTATTTTGTTTATTTATTTTCATGTGGTGCTGAGGATCGAACCCAGTGCCTCACATGTGTGAGATAAGCACTTTGCCACTGAGCCACACCCCCAGCCCAACTTTTATTTTTATCAAAGTAACAGGGGCACATAGTTAAGAGAATCAAATAGTTCTAAAAGGCCCATTATCGCCATGACATTTCCTGCTTCCCAGAGGCAACACTGAGAGCCTTGCATACTTAGGCTTTTTTTTTTTTTTTTTTTTTTGAGACAGCATCTCAACTATGTTGCCCAGGTTGGCTTCAAACTCCTGGGCCTCAGATTCTAAGTAGCTAGAACTACAGAAGTCCAGCTATCAAACACACTCTTAATTTTGTCTAAAAGCAGTCTCTCTCAAAGACTCTGGCCCTCCATCTGGACCCCAGCCCTGCTGCACAGTGGCTATTGCTGCTTCATCCTAGGGTCCCTTTTCACTCCCTCTTGCTGCATCCACTTTTTCCTGCTTATCTTCCACTGTCTTCGTTTAAATCCTTGTTTTGGTGTCCTCCTCCAGCAGCATCTTGAAAGAAGGCATCTTTGCACATCCAAGAGTCTTTCATCAACCCTCTACCTGGCCTCTACTCAGATGAACCAGACTTCTAGGTGGGGTTTATTTTCTATCATGATGTGGAAGGGTTTGTTCATTCGCTCTCTCTCTTTGGTACCAGACTGAACCCAGGAGTGCTTAACCACTGAGCTACACCCTAACCCTTTTATCTTTTTTTTTTTTCTTTTGGTACTGGGGATTGAACTCCTGGGCACTTGACCACTGAGCCAAGACCTATTTTGTATTTTATTTAGAGACAGGGTTTCATTGAGTTGCTTAGCACCTTGCTTTTGCTGAGGCTGGCTTTGAACTTGCAATCCTCCTGTCTCAGCCTCCTGAGTCACTGGGATTTCAGGCATACACCACTGCGCCTGGCCCCTTTTATCTTTTGTTTAAATTTTGAGATAGGGTCTCTATAAATTGCTTAGGGTCTCACTAAATTGCTGAGGCTGGCTTTGAACCTGTGCTCCTCCTGCATCAGCCTCAGCCTCATGAGTCACTGGGATTACAGGCATGTGCCACTGCGCCCTGCTTTGCTCCACTCTGATTTCCAAAGTTTCTGTGGAGAAGTCTGATGCCTTTCTGATTCCTGATTCTTTATAATGAAACCTGTTTTGTTCTTTTTTTTTTTTAATTCAAGGTATCTTCTCTTTGCCTCATTGGTCTGAGTGGGTTGGGTATGGGTCCACTTATATTCACTAGGCACTAGTGGATCCTTAAATAAAAAACTTGTTCTTTTTTTCCTCAATGAATGTTACTGAATTATCATTTTATTTTTTCTCCTCTCCATTTCCTCTATTCTAACTTTATGGAAGTCTTATGCTATTATTTTTTGGACTATTTCTCTATTTTTCTCATCATTTGTCTCATTTTCTTTCTTTAAATTTTTTTTTTCAGTGTTAGGGGTTGAACTCAGGGCTTCATTCATGCTAGACAAGAACTCTTCCACCAAGCTACATCCTCAACACTTTTTATTTTTTATTTTGAGACAGGATCTTGCTGAATTGCCCAAGCTTTCCTTGAACTTGGGATTCTCTTGCCTCAGCCTCCTGAGTGAGAATTACAGGATGCACACTCACACATGGCACTTTTTTTTTTTTTTTTTGAGATGAGGTCCTGCTATGTTGCCCAGCCAGTTGAGAACTCCTGGCTCAAGTGATTCTTCCACCTTAGCTTCCAGAATGCTAGGACTACAATTGTGTGCCACCATGCCCAGCCCCAGATTATTCTAAATTTTTTATGTTACAACATCTTCTAATTTTATCTGAAAATACAAATATCTATCTATAGCTACATATAGATATACATGTACATACAGTAATGTATTGATGTATATATAAAATGGTTTGTATATGTGTGTGTGTATAAAACATTTCATGACATATATCTTATTTCCTCCTTACTTTTTATTGTGTTTTGATCTCTATTATATTACAGGCCATTCTCAAATGTTTGGTGACTCTTAGTTGTCATTTATATTTCAAAGTAGGGCCCTAAAAAGTTCATTGGAAGGTCTGTGCCTGTAGGTGGAATTTCTCAACTGTCTGTGTTGGGTAATCATTGTGCTGAGTGATCCCTGGCTAAGAGACCTTCTGTTTTACTTCCTTCAGAGAACATAACTCCAGGATGGAACATGGGTTTGGAAGGGGATCCAGGGAAAGAAAATCTCTTTAAAAAAAAAGTTTTCAATTGATCATTTTATTTTTTGTTAGTGTATTTACCCGCAACTTCTAGACATACTTGACACCAGCAGACGTCAAAGCCTACATCCAGCCCTATTTAAACTATTGAACTGGCACTCTCTCAATTCTTAGCATATTCCCTAACGCACAGTAAGTGCCCCCAAAATATTTGTTGGTTGAATAAATTATTAGTTGTTATCCTTCCATCTTTGAAAAAAGTTGGTACCTATGCTCTGCCCACCAATTAACCTTGGACCTTGGACAAACCACTTCCACTCTGGAAGTTTTAGTCCTCTTTTCTGTAAAATAGCAATAATACTAACTCCCTATCCAAGTGCCTTGCTCAGTGCCTAGAGCAAGGGAAGCCCTAGATATATGTGGTGTGGAAGGGTTCAGTATTCAAGTGACAATTCTTAGAAAGCTAGCGTTTTACTTGAACTTAAAATTAGTCTTCACACTTGAATTGCAAATTGGTCCCTAATTAATGTCTTCAGGGCAAAATCTATGTTTAACCTGGCTTGATGCTGAGACAGAGGTAGCAAAACCTTTTGAGGCAAGAGAGGAAGCAGCATTAGTCACCAAGAACCTATTGTGTTCAGCAGGCTGGGGGTCCAGAATTCAGACGGGACCTGTGTGTGTCCTGGAGACTCTACTAATCCCTACCCCTCACTCTAGTCTGCTGTTCCTCAGAACTGGATTATTGCAGGGCGCCCGGTGCAGAAGCCCACACACTTTCCCATCTTGTCCGTCACTCTTGTCTTCATTCAGGTGGCACATCTCATCTTGGTCCTCACCGGTAAGTCCCCCAGCTACCTGTTGAGGACTCCACTTTCTCCAAAGGAGATATTGAGGCCCTAGGAAAGCAGTTCCTTGCTTCCTCGGCCCTCCTCGACCCTCCATCGATTCCTCCAGGTCCCCACGACCGGTTTTCCGGAACCCCAGTTCTCGAGAGCCTGGACCGCCGGCGACCACCAGTGGCTCGGCCAGCGCGCGGCGCAGGTGAGGGCGGGGCTGGGGGCGGGGCCGAGAAGATGACGCCCCGCCCCTGAGGCCGAGGCGCGGCCCCTCAGCCTGCACCTCGCCCGGCCGCGGAGCGCCGCCGAGCGGCCTTCGGGCGGGCACTCGCTCCGCCCCCTCCCGGCCGGCGCGAGGCTCCCGCCTCCTTCCCTCTGCGCCCGCTCCCGCCTCCCTCTCTTTCCGCTGCTGAGGCGGCGGGACCCGAGCCCGAGCGGACCGAGCCGCGGCCGCAGCGGGCGGCGGGCGCAGAGGCGGCGGCGGGGCGGGCCGCGGCGGGCAGTCGGGCGGCAGCGGCGGCGGCGGCGATGCGGCGTCCCCGCTGAGCCCGCCCGCTCCTGGCGCCAGGGGCCCGCCGCGCGAGGCGGCCCGGGTCGGGCGGCAGCATGCGGAGCGGCGAGGAGCTGGACGGCTTCGAGGGCGAGGCCTCGAGCACCTCCATGATCTCGGGCGCCAGCAGTCCGTACCAGCCCACCACGGAGCCGGTGAGCCAGCGCCGCGGGCTGGCCGGCCTGCGCTGCGACCCCGACTACCTGCGCGGCACGCTCGGCCGCCTCAAGGTCGCCCAAGTGGTAGGTGCCGGGCGGGGCCCCAGGTGCGGGGCCGGCGGCCTAGCCGCGCGTCTTCCCTCCGCGCGCCCCGCTCCCACTCCCGCTGCGGGGGCGCAGGCCCCGCCGGCCTCTGCCGCGTCCCGGGGCCAGAGCCCCTGCTTCTCGTACCCCTCTCTCGGGCAGGGTTCCCAGGCCGTCCTCCCTTACCCCGTTCTTTGGCCCACGGCTAGAGCCTGCCCTCCCCAAACTGGTAGCCTCAGGTGTGTCGTCTGCCTGCGTACCTGTCCCCTGGCCTACCTGTCCACTCCCGCCTTCATTACTGGACTTGGTGATGTGTGGAGCCTGGCGCCAGGGATCTTGCGGTTTTCTGACTTAGCAACCTGTGGCAGGTTTTAGGGGCCCCGTTCAGCCAACGTACGGTCTTTGCCTCGGCCTCTGGAGACTGAGGACTGCTGCTTGCTTTCTTCCCTGGCGCCTAGAAGGGTGCCTAGTGTATGGTGGACGCTCAGTAAATATTTGTTGAATGGGAGGCATGTAGCCCAAATGCAGTGGAGAGCCTAGATCTCCCTGCTGTCTCCAGTTTCTACTGCAGAGGTTTGAGTCCTCTGCATCCCGGAATCCTCTGCCCAACACCGATGTCTCGCACTGCCCAGTTGATACCCAGAGTTAATTCACTCCAGTAGGGCAGCCAGTTTTGGAGGTAACAGAAACAGGGAACTTTCTTTTGGACTTGTCCATAATAGAACTCATTTCTCAGGGTCCTGATTTTTAGCCTCATGGTGTTCAGGGGATGGGTCTGTCAGTTCTGTTCCTGTTAGACAGGCCTCTTTGGGCTGTTGCTTAGCTCAATTGTGGACAAGGCATACTGCAGCTTGAAAAACCTGTGTGTCCCACATACTCCTCTACACAGGTAGACCTCCCTAGCCTCAAAAGCCATTTGTATGGAACTGCAATGTATGAGTATTTCATTGCTTTAAGCATTGGTCCTCCTGTGCTTACTTACTTGGGTGCATACATAAACATTCTTTGGGAATAATATCATGTGTGAACCTTTAAATAAAGGTCCCAGTGTTTGTAAATCACAGAATTACAGACTGTTTTATCTCTGTCATGGATGAGAGGCTTGTTCTGATGATTGCTCGGGGTATTTTTGAAGAATTTTAAAGAAAGATAAATGGAGTAGGTTATCTGTCTAGACTTTTAAACTGAACTTAATCTAGTAAACCAGAATGTTCTCAAAGGTATATTGGTTTTGTAGTTAGGTATCATTGCTGTTAGCAAAGAGAATGTAGGAGGTGGGGAGGAGCTATATAATCACTTAAAAGCAGCAGCTAGCCAGTGTTTGAATACAGTACAGATAATCAGAAACGAATAAGAAAAGGCCCAGTAGGACTGAACTTGGACCTGGTTGGAATACAATACCTTGTCAAGTACCTTGCTTTGTTTACTCTGTGGGCCTTTGAAAGTAAATAGAACTTGCCAATGGAAAACTAACTTGCCACTCAACAGATCTGGTAAAATAATTGAAATTCAGTAGTTTGTACAGAGTGTGCATTATCAGCTCATTAGTGGGACATTTCACCTATGGCCAGGAATGGAAGCCAGTGGTATTTATTTACCTTTCAGAAAAGTACTATTGTGGTTTTGGGGGCTTTAATCTGGAAGAACTTTGGGGCTCAGCCCCTAAAATCTCTCCTACCTCTGCAATTTGTCTGTTCTTTAGAATTTATTTATTTATTTTTTTTAGAGAGAGAGAGAATTTTTTAATATTTTTTTTTTTTAGTTTTCGGCGGACACAACATCTTTGTATGTGGTGCTGAGGATCGAACCCGGGCCGCACGCATGCCAGGCGAGCGCGCTACCGCTTGAGCCACATCCCCAGCCCTGTTCTTTAGAATTTAAACATCAAGAGATAGCCAGCAGGCTGGGGTTGTGGCTCAGTGGTAAGGGTGCTCACCTAGCATGTATTCTATCCTCAGCACCACATAAAAATAAAATAAAGGTATTGTGTCCACCTACAACTATATATATATATATATATATATATATATATATATATGAAAGAGAAAGGGACCTACCTACTTGAAGGGTGTGGTGACTTGGTGGTCTTGGTGTACTTGGATGCTCAGCCTTGATAAAAATCTGGGTTTTTGTCTGGGTGTGCTGGTTTATGCCTGTAATACCAGTGATTTGGGAGGCTGAGATAGAAGGATTACAGCTTCAGGGCCAGCCTCAGCAATTTAGCAAGACCCTGTCTCAAAAATAAAAAGGCCTGGGATGTAGCTCAGTGGTAAAGTGCCCCAAAGTTCAATCCCCTTGAGATTGAGAGCTTCTTGGAATCAGGGGCTTCATTTACCTTGACCTTCTGAATCATAATCTGCATTTTAATAAAATTCCCCAGGTGGTCAAACATGTGTGAGACTTACATGTGTCATCTTAATGGTAAAAAAAAAAATCTCCCATAGCTGCTACAACAAGCTCTAACAGTACCACTCATAATAAAAGTCAACCATAAGCCTGAGGTTTGTCTGGAAAATGAGCCGGTACCTCTCTTGAAAGATTTTTTTTTTTTTTTAATTTTAATATTTATTTCTTAGTTCTCGGCAGACACAACATCTTTGTTTTGCATGTGGTGCTGAGGATCGAACCCGGGCCGCATGCATGCCAGGCAATCGCGCTACCGCTTGAGCCACATCTCCAGCCCAAACATATTCGTTTGTTATGTGGTGCTGAGGATCGAACCTGGGCCGCACGCATGCCAGGCGAGCGCGCTACCGCTTGAGCCACATCGGCAGCCTCTCTTGAAAGATTAAGAGAATGAGATAACATATAAAAATCAGCAGCTATCTCATTAGATATTTAATTGGTGTGTAATAAATGTTAACTGTCATTATTGCTGATTAATATTTTCTGTCTCTAAGGAAATGTGATTGAAATGTTGCCCCTCCATCATAATTATATATTTTAATTAAATGTAGTTTACTTGCTGATGATTTAAATTTTTAAGTGGAATGTCATTTGATAGTAACACTAATCTGAATTATTATGAAAATTAATCAGTGCAATTGCATAGATTATATCTTTTCAGAACAAAACCCGGACTTATCTCTTATTGGGGACAATGTCAACAGTGTTTTTATCAAACAATAAATGTTCACATTTTGTAGAAAAAGTTGATTTGAACAATTGACTTATATTATCCCCCTTCCTCCCCAAGGGTGAATTCTGTGAGAACATATTGGTTTTTAGCTCCCAGATGCTATTTAATGAAATATGTGTAGTGTATGTAGACCTTTTGCTTATTATTTTTTAATCAATGTGGTTGAAAGTAGAGTTTTGCTCTTGGGATGATATGGGCATACTATAGTAAAGACTATGATGTGGGAACAGGCCTTGGATAGGACAAGACTTTTTAAATAGTGAAGTTGTCCAGATCAAGATGTTTTTCTGGTCGTTAGGCAGCCTAGTATCTTATGGGTCAGTTTTTTCAGTGCTGGAGTGACAAACTTGATTAGAAGGGTTTTTACTTTCTTCATGGGCTATTCCTAAGCTTGTGGGTCCCTTGTGGTGCTGCACTCCTCCACTGACTGAACTAGGGGATAGGCTTCTCAAAGACAAGTCCGTTCCAGAAAGACCCTTCAGAAACCTCTGGTTGCTTCATATCCCTTTATTGAGTCCCTCCATGTCCAGTTTACCTGACAATGCTTTGTTTAGGACTTTGTATAACATAAGATAGGTAATAGGAGATGTTAAATTAGAATTTTAGCTTTGTTAACCAGGCATAGTGGCACATGCCTATAATTCCAGTGACTAGGGAAGCTGAGGCAGGAGTATCCCAAATTTGACAAATTTGAGGCCATTCTGAGCCATTTAGTGAGGTCCTGTCTCAAAATAATAAAAAGAACTCGGGAAATAGTTCAGGGGTAAAGCTCCCCTGGGTTTAATCTCCACTATTACCCCCTACCTTCCCCAGTTTTTAAGCTCTATTGATTTTGAAATCTTAACCATATCACCTCTGACTTATTTGGGAATTTTAGGAAGTATAAGAATTAGGAGGTTAAAATAAGATGCTTTCTTAGGTAGCTCAAAGGCAAATTGAGGTATTTGCATTTCAGGTTGGGTAATGGCATATCTTTTATTTGATGGGAATTTTGTCAGTTTTTCATCTCAAGACAGTCAATACAATTCTGACTGAAAATTGCTTTCTGGAGGATGTCCTGGGGTGGGAGGACAGTATTAAAAAACAAAGGACAACAACAAAAACCCCAGATTGCATATTTACTAAAATCCATTATGAACATAAATTAAGGGAACTACATGAGGTAAAAATAGCCACATTTATAAAGATGCAATTTTGTGTCCTGGCCATAGCCAAGGTGTAGAGCTCATCAGTCCCAGATTCTCTCAAATGTACAGTATCAAGTAATTAATAAATTTGTTGCTGCTGATGGATTTTGTTTATTAAAACATTATAACATTAAAGAAAGTTAGAAATCATCTTAGTATGTCAGGCTCAAATGATCAGGACTTTGGAATTTTTTGTTTCCAAAGGCTGTGTAAGGGCCTCTGTGGCAAAGTCCTGTGACCATGATTTCCAAACTTTTTGCTATTAGACTGTATAGTAACTGTTCTCATGAACAGAGCCTAAATTCCTCTTTTGAACTGTTGCTTACTTTTTTGTCATTATTAAATTTCAAGGAGTGCTTTTACTACATCAAAGGGCAATCCCCATCACATTCCCGAACATTAAAAAAAAAAAAAAATACTGCTGAGTGGTTGGGAGATGTAGTTTAATAGTAGAGCATTTGTCTAGTATACACATAGCTCTAGGTTCAATCCCTGAGATTCCAAAAAACAAAACCCAGGCTCTGGATGCTGGGGCAGGAGGATCGTGAGTTCAAACCCAGCGTCAGCAATGCAAGGCGCTAAGCAATGCTGTCTCTAAATAAAATACAAAAAAGGGCTGCGGATGTGGCTTGGTGGTTAAGTGCCCCTGAGTTCAATCCCTGGTACCAAAAAAT